AAAAAAAAATCAAAGAAATACCCAAATTTATTTGATTCCAAAATTTAATGCTTTCCAATTCTGCAAAATCAAATAAGTACCTAGAATAAATACCTAGATTTGCAATTCCAATTCTTATCATTCAAATTTTAATGCTTTCATACCCAAAGTTGCAACAATCAAGATTTGAAAAATAAAACCTAAATACAAATGTGGGTGTAAAAGGAACTTAGATCTGGATTGCCTCTTAGATCTAGATTTCCTCGCACCCAAAATCAACCTTCTCCTTTACATGATATTAACATAACAAAGGGAACCCAACAAGTAGTTTAAACCCCCATTAAATGCCCTCTCAAACCTTCTAAAAAACCCAGAAAAATCAAGGTATCTTCAATCAAACCCAACAACAGTTCTTCAATCGAATCTAGTATTCTTCAATCAAACTCAACATTCTTCAATCAAACCCATCAGGGATTCTTCAATCGAACCTAACAGTGCCTGTTGGGTTTAATCGATGAACCTACCAAGCGCTCCTGGGTTCGATCGATGAACCTAGCATGAACCCAGTTGTACATGCTGGGATCATAGATCAAACCCAAGAGTTCAATGAACCTAGCGACGCCATTTGGTTCATCGATCGAACTCAGGAGCACTTGCTGGGTTCTTGCTCTTGGGTTCGATCGATGAATCCAGCATGAACCCAATGGCACATGCTAGGTTCATAGATCGAACCCAAGAGTTCGATGAACCCAACGACGCTATTGGGTTCATCGATTGAACCCAGAAGCACCTACTAGGTTTATCGATCGAACCTAGTGACGTTGTTGGGTTCTTGCTAGGTTCAATCGATGAATCCAACAAGCATCGTGCGGCTAGGTTCTTGCTGGGTTCATCGAGCGAACCCAGTAGGCATCAATCAAACCCAAAGCCCCTAAGGCCAACGAACCTAGGGGAAGAAGATGAATGCTAGAGATGAAAATGAGGGGGTAACGAAAAGAAAATGGAAAGAAAGTGATGTGTGGTTGAAGACGAGAGTAAAAAAGTAATTTTAGTTTTACAATTAATTTTAGATATTTTAATTTTTATTAAAAATTACGTGTAAGTTTTATATGCCACGTTGTCAATCCTACATGTCAAAATATTTTTACATGTCATCATTTTTCGTCATCTAACAGGACATGTAGGCGGAATTTTAATGGAGGGACAAAGTTGGAGTTAAAATGGTAAACAGTAGGAACTAAGTCAGGGATTTTTTGAGTTGAGGAGCTAAATCGAGGTCTGTACAATAGTTGAAGGATCAAAATTGGGGTTTAATCTTCACTTTTTAAGCATTACAATTGAGGGTTTTCTCTTTTGTTTTTTTTTATCAGTGATAGTGAGCCGCAACGATTTGGAATGTATTCTTACTCGTAAACTT